CTTGAAAGTGCAGACTAATAAAACTATTATTCCCGTGATCGACATGGCTTCTTCTTATCAACCTTAGCTTAATTGTCTTCATATCAGTGATGATATATTGGTGTTCATGCTGATGATGACCGCTGAATTTTCTGGGATTCCACGGACTGGAGGCAGAGATCATGACGCTTTGAATGCATGATATGCTACATTGTGAGAGAAAATCTTACATTGTGGACAATAACCGGCAGTCAGTTGGATATTCGCAGCTGGAAAGTTACAAGGTCTACAAATAAGCGCTTATGCTGACGGCTATACGTACAGTTGTTGACTTTGGACAGAGCGTTCCCAAGGGATGATTGAGGCCGCCAAATAAGGAAAAAATCATCCGAAATTTGCGAGTATCGAAAACAAGAACGTCCCAGTGGGCTTGTATAGACAACCGCTTTTTTACGGCAGATTCCGCTTAAAGGGAAATTCTTGAAGATAGGAAACTAGAGTTTCCATTCAATAAAAGAGGCTCCGACTTGTTTACGCCTTTTCCCAAAAAGGAAAGGATTTTGGCCATTTGCGCGTGTTCATATAAAAGTTGCGTTCCACGGATCAATTTGGGATGCGCTACATTACCGCAAATGTAATTGTCTAAGGTATGTTTGGGAAATGTTTTGAGCTTTTCACGAGTGACCTGCAATCTATCATCAGTGATTCAATCTGTTGAAAGAAGTGCTATTTGTTAATGTCTCTGATGAAGAATCTGCGACGTAATTCGAAACGTCAGACGAATAAAATTATTATCCCAGCAACCACATCTCCTTGTCAGTGCTATCTACTGGGAGTGTTGTTGCTCTGCTTCGGATCTGGAGGTACAGCGTTGGAGTTAGGTTGGTGGGTAGGCTTAGTGTAAGGACAGGCAAAGAGGGAATACTGGAATTTAACTCAAGCCGTCTGTATTAAAGAGGGGAGGACTTTCACCCGTTTCTCTAACCATCCATGTTTCGGTGTTCATTAAAGGAATGAAAAAGATACGACATTTTTCTGTTACGAGTCTACTCAACGTTGCCCTAATGCATTTCGCACTGATCGAAATATGTAAGTTATTACGTCTGATTTATCCGTCCTCATAAAGGAGACATGAACACAACAACCATCCGCAATGCGAGTGCTTTTGCATTAAATACCAGGAGGATTAGTATAAGGGTACTTTATGTCTACGTTTAGAGTTACGACTAGGGTTTAGCATAGGCTCAGCGTCAGGGTGAAGACTACGTTTAAGACACGATATTATGAAATCCTAATAAAAGAGAACATGCGAGTCGCAAGAAGTAATTTAGAAATAGAAGACGGCTCGAGCGCTGGGACGATATGTTTATTTGACCCCAATCCATCAACAAGTGCAACGATTTGCCCAATCCATTGTCGGTGCTGAGACTATATTTGGCTAAAGCAAATCGCCGCTCGGGGAACCCACAAGCCACCACATCATCTTATGCCAACACCACAAGGCCAGATGGTCATTGCTGACACAAGGAATTAGCGCACAATCAAAGGGATTTATAGATTTTTTCTGTACGATTAAATTTTACGGCAGAACGTTGTGCACACACAAACTGTTTCTGCTACAGTTCGGTGATTATGTCTCTGATGATGTATCCGCGACGGATTTCGAAACGTCAGGCGAAAAAACATATTGTCCTAGCGATCGAGTCGTCTCCTACTTCTCAGTATTTACCCCCCCCCATTTGATTGTGCACTACTTGGACAGAGCTTTCTAGTTGCCCTGTCCTATTTAAGGGACATATATACAATTCTTACCGCTCAATCCGTGGTCACGTCCCTCAGTAAGCGTGTCGCATTCTTTTGGTCATTTAAAGGGCTTCGAAAGTTCAAAACAGCATTTTGTGAGTGTACACTTTCGGTTAGTTCTCCTCATGCCATACACTTAAATGGGAAGGATAAATTTAAACAATCGATCAATCGTCCTTCCTTACAAGCGAGGACCAATCAGAGCGCAGATTACTGCATGTCTCCTAAGCAGACGCTTCAACCAAGTCGTAGTACAAACCTTCCCAGCAGCGAAAGTTTGGGTATTATTCTCAACCAACCCGGTCCTGCATGGCGAAGCTAAGGCTAGGCTGTCAG